CAGTAAGGGTGAAAAATCTAGTATAAAAACTAAGTCATTTCTATCTCTACTTCCAAAACTCTCTGACTTAAGCATGAAATCTCAATGTTTACTCACTTCAACATCCTAAGTGAATATTATTAGTAAGATAATCATTTACAAAAACCCTTAAACTGTCTTGCATACTGGTGTGACAGAGGTCTCCAAACTGTCTTCTATGGAATTTTGGGTGATATTTCGATTCTACTTTAGTTACATTGAAAACAAATTTTTAAAAAAATCTGAATATCACCCATATTTATGCATATGACCTTTCATCATGATGAGTCAAGTTGCTTCAAGATTCTTCTTACCCAAAACCAATTAATGACACCAAAACGGTTTCATGCTAGCGCCATTTAGGTATTTTCGGAAGAACATATATTTAAAAATAACAAATGTTTCGTTGCTAGTTGCATTCACCCTGGAATCTTCAAATGTGTGTAAAAATTATATTCCACACACATTACTGGTGCCATTTCATTTCACCTCTATAAACTTGGGTATCACTGTTCAATTTCTGATAAAGGATCTGGCACCATCTATTTTTGACCTATTTTAGGTTGTCTTTAGTGTGTAATTTGCATTTTGCTTTCTCGTATAAAAAAGCTCCCTCAAGGCAAAATGCTTTTATAAATATAAAAGTCTCCTTTGTTTCTGTTCAAAAACCAATTTGAAAATATTTTCCAAGGCTATTTTTCATACCTTTGCTTCCTAAACTTATCATCCCTCATGTAAATATACAGTAATGTCTTCCATTAAGAAAAATATATCTAAATGATAAATCTGGATTTTAGGCAACTCCTCAAAGCAAGTCCTTAAAAACCTGTAGTATATGAATTTTCTAATGGAATGTGTGTGTTTCTGTGTGTTTTATTTTGAAGTCAAGAGAATGAAGGACTAGACATAAAAGTTAATATTTCAAACAGTTTACTCCCTGTCTTCTAAAATTTATATCATAAGCTACAATCCATTATGTAATGGAATAAGTCTCTATTATAGAAAATTAATAATTAATCAAAATAACTGAAAAAGAAGACAAAGGAGAAAATAAAATTACAGTGCAAAAGCATATAAGATTAGGAAAACATTAATAAACTAATTACAAATTAGAATAAATATTACTTTGTTAAGTACAAAAATCCTAGATTAAAAATTGTACATATTCAAGTATGCAACTCCTTTAATTCATGGGCTATTTCTGTCTTTTAATAAAATTCTGTTTGTTGAGACTTAAATTTTTAAAATATTGGGGCCTCCCTGGTGGTGCAAGGGGCTCAGTCTCAGCACTATGAGGCTATCAGCAGCCACTGAAGCATGACTTCGATCCCTGGCCAGGGAGCTACCTACATGGCACAGCAGACCTCTCCGGTCTCACCAGCTGCTCCCCTTAGTAGAATATTTCAGTCAATTCATCTCTGAATTTGAAGAACTCTTAAAATGTGTGCTCCAGTAGGAAAAAGGAGAGTAGGAAAAGAAATTACCTCAAGATAGGAAAATCCATAACCAAAATAAAATTATGAGAAAATGGTATCAAGGAAGTAAAGGGGAAAATGTTTCAAAAGGATGGACTCATCAATTTTCAAATATTGGTGTAAAGCCAAGATGAGAACTGAAGTGTCCAGTGGACTTAATAAAAAGCAAGTCAAGGGACTAATAAGCTACCTACTGCACTAAGGAGGTACCTTAGCAAGTGAGGTGGCTTCTTAAGAAAGCTAGGAAAATTCATGAAGGTAGAGTAAAATTGGAGAGAACTGGAGATATAGGTATGGAAAAAGAAACTGAGATTTGCAAAAAAACAGAATTTCGTATAGAGTAGCAGAAATATGGATGGTATCTAGAGGGGAACTTGAAGTTCCTGCAATAGATTGGTAGGTATGTATGGTTAACATAGAGCCTTTCCATGGGAAGGATTCTAGTGCAAAAATAGAAGTGAAGATTAGGTGGATACCTGAGAAGTTGGAAGTAGAAGAGATATTGAAAGTTGATAAAAATTTGGGTGCTTTTTGATTTGAAGGCAAATGGGTGCAGAAATTTGTGAGATGATTTTTTGATTTTCACAAGGAAACTGAAGGCAATATTTGCTATAGAAAAGCAAGTGGTCAAAGAAGGTAAAGGAAATTTGCAAAGTAATCAGAAACATCATTTTCTAAAAGGAAACTTTCTAAAGTGCAGTCTTGAAACAATGGAAGGAGACAAAGTATGATAAGGGTGTCTCAATGTCTTTATGCTGATGAAGTAATGAATTTGCATTGTTCATCAAATGCCAGTCTTTTTTTCTGTAACTTATGAATTTTTGAAGATGGAAGATATAATTTTATCTGGAGAGGCTGTGAGGCTTGCAGGGAAGATATCATAGCACGAAGTGGCCTGTACTCTGAAACATAAAGGACAGACAGAACCTGAACATGAGACAATAGAACAAGCAGCATCTCAGCATGTGTAGCTAAAGGAAAAGCTTGAAAGTAAAACATTCTGGGAGATCCTGCTGTGCCATGCTCGTGGGGGCAGAGGTGCTAACTTTGCTTCTCTTCTCTGTCTTCTGAAATTGTGTGTATGTTATAACAAGTGCGATTTTGTACTTTTTAAAGGCAAAGGTAATAATGAAAATACACAAACACACACATATAGATGTATTTGTGTGCGTGTATGTGAGTACCATTAAATCTGGTTCTTGTCCTAGAAGGATATTTTAGTCCAACAAGCTTTCCTTCAAAACAGGAAAAGACAGAAACTAAAGGAGTTGGACTGTCTGCTGTTGTTCCCTCTGCATGTGCCTAAGGGCAGCAGACAATCTGGAGGACTGCAACCATAGAATGATAACGATTTAAAAAAAAAAAAAATACCGTCTGGACTCTTGGTGATATAATTGATTTCTGTTTTGTTTTTATTTTTGTGTATTTTAATTTTTTTTTGCCTCAATTCCTCTTCAGAACAGAATCTCTTTCAAAAGCAGGGTCATCTTCATATTTCTTTCAGTACAATGGACATAGCTGAAGTATGTAAATGCGAAGTATGTAATTAAAAAGAGGATAGGGGAAAAGGGGAAAATATGTCATTACTGTACTATTTTCAGGCTTATGTGCTAAAGGGCAGAACTATTTTTAAATATGAGGCATGTTCATCTCACTTAATGTCTCTGTCGGTAAGATATTCTTATATATTTGTCCTTAGCTAAATCTCAATATATTATAAATTAGCTATTTTCAAGCACATTCATTGACTCATCATTAAATTTGTATAGATATTATAGGTTTCACTTCTTTAATGAGCTACATACTCCCTTTCCTTGAAACATTTAGCAATGTAGAGAATCTATAAATACTTAATGAAATGATCAAAGGAATGAGAAAGGTTACTAATGACCTATTGGATTGATACTGTAAGCCACTTTAAACTTTTCAAGTTGGGAATACTATTTTGGAGTAAATCCTTAAAATGATTTGTAGTTAAATCTCATGGATATATATGTATATACACACACATACCATATATATATACACATAGGTTTAACTCAATCTCTGTCTGTGTCTCCCTCTCTGTCTCTCTCTATATATATGTATGTGTGTATATACATATATATATATAATATTATATGTAATTGAGTTACTAAAGACAAGAAAAAAGTTCACAAATTCACATTTAAAATATTTATCAATTTATGTGTAAAATATAGAAGCAGAAGAAGTCAGGATTTTTTTAAGTAAACTCATGATTGATTTTGTAAAAAAGTTTATTGAAATGCTGCTGGGACAGTGAAAACTCTCTTCCCATTTCATATTAAAATGCCATTATTGGAAAACATATATACTTTCTTAAGATGGGACACATTATCAGAATGGAGTGAGGAAATTAGAGTTTAGCTCATTCTTGGTCTAAGTATTTAATGTAATATACAGATGTTTATATGTTGCACATCTAGAACTTATATAATGCTAAAATATAACGTTTTTTGCTAAACAGTTATAAAACATAAAAGTGAAACAAAAATATATTTAGCTTGAAAAATAGTCTTTTGATATTCACTTATTATTTTCTGAAAAAATGCTTCCCAAGAATACATAGAGCTATATAAATGCAAACTTAAATGATAACTTCTGTAGACTTTACATATACAATGTAAAAATCAGCATTATCTAAAATTAATGATACGCATGTCAAATATTTGTCCATACTTTCACACATGTTTATAAATATATACATACATGTGTCTATATATGGTATGTACATATCTATAGGAATATATATATATACACACACACACTCACTCAAACATCTTAAACTATTCCTTGACATTTTAGATGTGAACTCAGTACAGTTTATATCAGGAAAAGATTATTATAGATATATGAAATCACATTACAAATGAATGAATTTTATATAGAAAAACAATTTTACATTTTGTACATATGTGAACATTTTATTTAGATCTATAATGACAGATGTAGACAAATTTACCCAGAGTTATCATCTCTAGCTTTTACAATTTTTAAAATTAAAGGAGGCTACAGTGGTCAGAAATATTTATAAGTAAACCCAAAGCCAAATTTCTTTAGGATCTTGAAGCTTTATGATGGTAAGCTGCTGGGCATTAATAACATCACTGGTCAGGGGAAAACTTAAATACATGGACCACTCTCAGCCATGATATTAAACACCCACTTTTTCCCTTTTGTCCTGACCAGGAGATCTATGCCATAAAACACAAAATAGCACTATATTTCATTCAACAGAAGAATAATTTAATACTCCCCTACCTCCAATACAAATTTCACATGTGCAGTATGACTTAATGTATCAGTTTTATTTTACTATAATGTGCAAGCAAAAGCATTATGAAAAAAAAATATAGTTCAAAAGGAAAGAAAACATTTTATGATTTGTAACATAGAATAGTTTCTCTGCTCCCTAGCCACATTCTGGTTTAAAAGAATTTCTTATCAAACTCTCACCATAGCAAAGAAAAAGAAAGCTTCTCTTACCAGAGTGGGATAAAGCTTCAACCTTGCAATAACGTTTTCTGCAGCTCTTGTTTGAAAAGACGGATCCAAAGCAGCTTTGTGCATACAACTGATTTGGCTGATCTCCAGTCCCTGCACAAAAAACAGTATAATTGGCTCTCAAAAAAGTGTTGTAAACATTCATCATGATGGCACTTGCATGTTGAATATAGTCACAGTTACACTAGCCGACTTTTTTCAAACAGACCAATTGCATTTCCACTTTTAATACATGCTGTTTGGTTTTCTCTAACACTGAGATTACTATCTTGAAAGATATCATGAATTTGTGAGTATCAACTCTACTACTATGTCAAAACCTTTGAGTTCTGAAAATGCAGTTTGAGCCTGAAAATTAAAAAAAAAAAAACACATTTTAAATTAAGATGACATTATATGATATATATATATATATATTACTTGTCATCTATATGTCTTGATTTTAAAATTTGACAATATACAGTCCTTTGTTTATATGTTAATGAAATATTGTTATTATTAAGTCTCTTTCATTCATAATTTGATAAAAGTCAAGTTAACATTCCACATCTCTACTTTGCACAGAAGCCACATCAATAAATGCCTACCACACACCCTAGAGTCTAAGACGAACTGTGCTGGATTTCTAAGTCTCATTAAATATTCCACTGTTCCTTTGCCCAAACCTTCAAAGGGGTCCAGACACAATCACATCCTTTAATTTTTATGGGAGCAATGAAGGGGTCATAGAGCCTGGGCTTTTTTCTTACTTTCAGACATTCAATTTTTATGGGAACTTTAACTGATTATAACTATGAGTGGCATATTCCTGTAACAAAAAAAAATGTGAATGTTAGATCAAAAAATAAAAGCCTCCATGAAAAACACAGTCTCATTTGTATCACTTCTTATAACAATCTAAGCAATGCATTGATCTTACAACTACAAGAATCTCTGTCTTGCTTCCCATGTGTATGAGGCCTTTCAGCAGTTATCAGCAGTGGCACTGTATGAGAAATATGAATTAACTGCAAAGGGGGTCTTTTTTTGCATTTTAATACCTGATAGCTTATTTTAATCAAACAATTTAATCAAATAAGCAAAACAATTTATGACTATACAAATTATGTTTGCATAAATATCTAAAAATTATAAATTATGGCATATTTACATCTTTTAAAAGTTAAGATATTCTAACTGTAAACTTTCTGTGTTGCTGAGGCTTTTTTAGCAAAATCTTTAAATTAAAAGAATCTAAAATTTTGAAAGCTGACCATTCCTTACTTTTCTTTATAGATGTTATTGCATTTGAAAGATGTTGTAATTCAAATACTGCAAACCAATATATACTACTCCTCTAAGATTACAGATAACTGACTTTATTATGCTACTTAGACAGGGAGAATATGGAGGAAGAAATCCTAGATACTGTAAAGTTGGTTTCAGTGAACTTTTATCTCCCATATATGATATTTGTCTTTACAAAACTTTCAATTACTATTTTTAAGTTAATTATTTCATCAGAAAAGTAAAATTTATTGTTTTCTAAAGCTAGAATTCTGAAAGGGTAAATGATTTGACAAATTACAAAAATATTTAAAAGATTTATTTATTTATACATAAAAAAACTAGGGTATAGGTCAGAGGTGCAGAGGGTGAGAGGATTCACCAGAGAAAGAATGGGAAGCAGAACAGGCAGATTTACTGAAATGCACTGCTGAGGGGAGCAGCAGGTGAGACAGGAGAGATCTGCTGCACCATGTAGGTCACCTCCCTGGCTGGGGATAGAACTCATGCCACAGTGGCTGGCGATAGTTTGATAGTGCTAAGAAACTATGTATCTAAGACTTAAAAACAACTTTTTTTATGGTTTCGCTTGCTGATTGGAAATGGGGAATATAACTCTGGAGAATCTTATATTTGCCATTGCAAATTGTAGAGCCTGAAGGTTTATATCTAGGCCTAATGATTTTGGACACAATTTGAAAGTAATCTTCAAAAAGGTCATTTTTATTTTTATTATTTAATTTGAACAATTTTGAAAATTCATCTATAGTCTATTAACTATCAACTGAGCGACAGATTCTTTAAGTTAAAGTTGTTAGAATATAGTAGTGAATAAGATAAATACCTTTCATTTTATGTTATTTTAAATCTTCCTAAATATAATAGAATTACTTTACTTTTTTTTTCCCTGAAAAAAAAAAAAAAAAGTCACTGTATCTGAGTTCCCAGCTTTTCCAGCCCACCTAACCTGTTTATTTTTTTAGTTTTTTTTTAAAGATTTATTTATTTATGCATACAAGAGCTGGGGTACAGGCCAGAGATGCACGGGGTGAGAGGATACACCAGAGACAGAATGGGGAACAGAACAGGCAGACTGACTGAAATACACTGCTGATGGGAGCAGTGGGCAAGACAGGAGAGGTCTGCTGCACCGTGTGGGTTGCCCCCTGGCTGCCTGTGGATCGAACTCGTGCTGCAGAGGCTGTGGATTGCTTCATAGTGTGGTGCTTAACCCCTTGTGCCACCAGGGAGGCCCTTAATATGTTTATTGAATGTTTTTAAACTTCAACCATGAAACTTCTTAGATGTTCAACTTTCTTCTGCTAATTCCTCTCATTGATATCAACTATTCCCTCTGCCTTGAATTATTCTCATCAGTTTAAAATCCTGCTTTAATATTTTCCCGAATTAACAACAATTACCTCACCTAGCTTTTTCAAAGTGTCCATACTCATCAAGTCATAAAATTGACCTCATATACTTGATCTTCCATTAGTACATGACCTAGTTTACTAAATCCTTCTTAAACATTGTCTTCACTTGACTTAAGTGTATGTCACATTCTTATGATATTTCTTAACTATAGAGCCCATTCCATCCCAGATGTACTTGCTGGCTTTTCCACCTCTGTCTGAATTATGTTTGGAATTCTCTTTGATCGGTCCTGGATTCCTTTCTCTTCTTGATCTTATACTTGCTCTGCTTGTGTTTTAATTCAGGTGCCTAGCTTTAAATATTATCTTAATTGTTTTTAATCTGCAGTCTGACCTCTCCACTGTGCTCCAAAGGTAGTTCACCATCTGCTAACTGATCTCAATTATTGGCTCTGTAACTGACATTTTTAAATTCAAACATTGTAAAAACAGAACAATTGATACTATTATGTCCGTCCAAATCTCTAGTCTTTCTAGTTCTAGTAAAATCCACCAATTGTTTAGTATAAACCCACAGGCGTATATTTTATTTTTTATTGTACAAAAATGCATAACAAAACAATTACCATCTCAACTATTTCTAAGTGTACAATTCTGTAGTATCAAGTATTTTCACATGACTGTGCAACCATTGCCAGAATTTTTTTTTTAACATTTTAGAAAAACTGAAATTCTATGTCCATTAGCAATTCCTCAGTGACCTATTCATATAGATGAATATGTAAGTATCAATGCTGAATGAAAAAACCAAATAGAATGACTATATACTCTACAATTTCATTCATATAAAATTCTAACTTATAGTATAAGAAAATGTATCAGATGTTGCCTGAAGATTAGAAGTGTTAGGACTGATAGAAAAGGAGTGTTTTGAGGGATAGTCAATGGACACAGGAAAGTTTTATGGGTAACAGATATTCATTGTATTGATTGTCTTGGTGTTTTATGAGTGTATACTTTAAACTGCACACTATAAATATGCGTAACTTAATTTATGTAAAGTATGTCTCAATATAAACATTTGCCATAAACTTGCAAATAAAATTCCTAAGATCAATAAGAAAATGATAGTCGATCTAATGTTCGAAGGCAAAAATATTTGTACAGCACAGGCACTTCACAAAAGATGTGAATATTCAAATGGTCAATATCATATGCTATTTCAAGAGCTATTTCTCATTGTTTCTCATCTGTAAAATGCATGCTCAACATATTAAACTGTTTCCTGAGACACTGATAACATTTTCTTTCCTATTAGAGTTATACTCACAGTTATGTTCACTATGAAAATTCACTTAGTTATTTAAGAGTTTGCACTTTTATGGATATGTGTAATGCTTCAAAAATATATAAATATATACACGGATATATAATGTATAAAATATATACATATTCAAAAGTTACATAGTTACAGATAGATAAATACAACAGAATCATTGTCATATGTGTTGTTTAGAACAGAATTTAAAATGTTTTTGATAACATATTGCTAAGGCAACAATCTATTTTGTCCTGATAATGAAAACAAATCACACAAATAAGGTTAAAATGTTCCTGCAGAAAAAATATCTATTTGACTAATTACCACAGGAAGACTTCCCAGATGTCATTGTTAAGGTAAATACAATACATTTTTTCCTCAAAATAATACATCATTAGGGCCTCCCAGGTGGCGCAGCGGTTGAGCGCTGTGTTGCGAAGCTGCCCGCGGCCTCTGCGGCGCTGGTTCCATCCCCAGCTGTTCCCCGGCCACCGGAGGAGGGTCCCACATGGCCTCTCCTGCCGCCCGCTGCTCCCCTCAGCAGTGTACCTCAGTCCTTCTGCCTGCTCTGCTCCCTGCTCTGGCTCTGGTGAATTCTCTCACCCTCCCGCGCTTCTGACTGTACCCAGTGCATGTATAAACAAAACAAACAAACAAATAAATAAATAAAACATGCCTCTATAAAAAAAAAAAATAATACATCATTAAAGGACAGACATTTCTTTGTATTTATTTTACATTATGATTATGTGCTTATGAAGCTTCTTGAGGTTCTGACTTAGAGAACACTTTATTTTTTTTTTCAGATTTACAAAATGTCATAACAGAAAAAACCCACAATGATATCTTAACATATATATTATCTTATTGTCTTTTCCCTCATATTACTAATAATATGAATTGTATATATTATTTTCTACAGTGCCCACTGTTCACATAATAAAAACTACTATTAGGGTTTGAGTAAATCATTCAGTCCTTTCTTCCAATATATATGGATGGGATTATTTATGCTGGAAAATGTGTGAATATCACAGTCATACAGAAAAATATTTGAATATATGCAAATTTTGCAAGTTGTATTATTAATATGCATACATTCCCACATCCTTGAAAGGTAATACTAACCTTCC